GAAGGGAGGTGGAAACAGGCGGCACATGAAAGAGAAGAGGGAGAGGAAGAGAATTAGAAACATTCTGTGGCTGACAACAGAACACACACACACACACACACACACAAACTTATGTGGGCGTCTAATGAGCGCCAGCAAAACAAATGATTACAAAGTAATTACTTTGTGTTATGTTTCTATTGGTTATAATACAACTGTGGAAGTTCCGAAAGGACAATTTGGGTATTCATTTTTATGTTATTACATGTTATTACATGTTGTATAAGTAAGTAATTCACTTACTACGCAGAAGGTTATTCTTTCTAAAAACAACAAAGAATAAATGAGAATTTGAAGTGATTTTAAGTCACCGAAATAAATACGAAATCTCACGTACATATACTTTGTTTCATTGTATTTTTGTCTTTTATTGTTAAATTTCTTGATGAATATTTATTTAAATGATAATTTATTTGTTGTTCATTTGACTTTCTGTTGTATGTGTTTGATCTAATAACCTTCTTGTTTCTTTAACACTGTAATTTAAATATGTATAAATAAACTATATTTTTCTTAGATTAAGTCAGATTTTTATGCATATATATATATATATGCAAAGTCTATGCAATTGTGTCCCAATGTGTGAATGACCTTTTCCCTTCTATTATCCAGTGAGCTTGCTCCATTCTGTGGCTAATTGACTGTCTAACGTGGGAAGAGGGATCAGACCACCAAAGAGTGAACAGCTCTTTTTGTTATGACAGGCACCCTCCCTGATGATGTGCGTCTAATGGAGGCTTTGCGTTCCCAAGAAAAAGCACGAAAAGAAGCTACAGGGACTAATTTAATTTCAAAATAAACGAGTCTTCATCACCTCACCTTCTCGTGTCTCGTGTTCTTTTCGACACATTCGGTCCCAGTTTAAATGACGCACAGAAAGAGTGTTCACAGCGCAGGGAGGACACACTACATAAATGATATAACTACATACTGAGTGAGCTGACTTATAACAGCAGTGTGTGAAAAACAGCACATGCACATGTGCTGGTTTAAAAAAAGTGGAGCCCACCACTGGCTAACTGCTCCTTGTAGACCAATAAAAAACAAATGCTAGATGGAGCAATATAAAGTAAGAAGAGGAAAGAAAAAGAAAGAAACACAGCCGACCACTCATCAGGAGTATGATGGAGCGAGGCAGGATCCAAAGGGGAAAGCAGCAGGGAGAAAACAGGGATGCTCATTAGTAGATAATGGGAGGTGTGAGTGTACCGTCGTGTGTAATGCGCGCTGATGGAAATAACCCAGTGTGCCCACTATGCCGTTTCTGTTCCATGTGGAGGACGAAGCCTTGTTGTGGTTTGAGCGGCGGAGGCCACCTCCAGCTAACAGCTCCTGGTAGACCTATAAATTTACCTTCATAAACAGGAGAGACTGGGGGGGGGGGGGGAGGAAGGAGGTAGAGGGGTGTAAAGACAGAGAGGGGAGGGAGAAGGGTGAAAAGAGGTGAGGACAAAAGGGAGGAGGGGAGAAATGAGGCATGTGGAAATGTAGGATGCATGCATGAAAGGAGGAGGGGTGAAAGCAGGGAGGGAAGGACGGATGACAGAAGGGGAGAATGAAAGAAATGTGTCCTCTTCTCCCATGTCCTTTCTTCTCCTGTGGTCTCCTCTCTTTCCCTCCTTCCTCTCCTATCTTTAGTAATCTCTTCTCCTCTCCTGTGTCCTCATTTCCTGTCCCATCTTCACTCCCCTTTTCCTTTCCTCTCATATTTTCTCCCCTCATTTCCTTCCCTCTCTTTCCCTTCTTCATCTCCTGTTTTTGCCTCTTCTCCTCTCCTCATTTCTTCGTCCTTCCTCTCCGATCCTTAATTTTGTCTCATCTCCTCTCTCTGTCTTCCTTTCCTTTCCTCCCCTGTTTTCGTCCTTCCTTATCTTCCTCCCCTGTCCTTATTTCCCATCTCTATTTTAGTGACTTTTTATTTAAAGGGGTAATCAGTCATGTTTTATATTTCATTCAGCTCGTTCCTTTATAATCCCGTGGACAGATGGAAACCTTTGAAACGCAGGCAGGTGAAAATGTTCGTGACTCGGCTGGTTTGATCATTAGCAGCGGCTCTACGACTCATTGGAGTGACAGGCCTCAGAGGGTTAACCCGCGGCAACCCCGCTCGACCTTACTCGAGAGGCTTCTTCTTCTCGACCAATCACTTCCCCAGATGGTGACGGGTCATCCAGGAAGTAGGAAGTGAGGGGTAGACCAATGAAAAAGCAGGCCTGGCCTTTTACCGCTGACCCATGACACCTTCCTCCCACAAAAACAGACCGGACCTGTCCATGTGTCTGTCTGCCTGCTGTGTGTGTCTGTCTGTCTGCCTGGTGTGTGTGTGTGTGCGGAAAGAAGAGCAGACTGGTGTCCAGCTGCCCATCCCCGACAGACAAAGAGTGAGACCTTGACCATTATTGTTTAGTGGTGGGACACACACACACACACACACACACACACACACACACACACACACACA